GCCCCGGGCCGCCCGCAGGCAGGCAGCAGCAGGTGACGGGGCCCGGGACAGCGACGCGCAGGGCAGTCCCTACCTCGGACCGGGCGTCCCCGAGCCTCCCACCTCCCGGCCAGGACCGCGAGGCGCCCGGACCCGACGAGGCAGAGGGGTGAGAGACACGGTGACCCCCAAGGAGGGAGGGACAGGAAGGACAGCAGCCCGCGCACTCCGGGCGCAGGGACCGTCACGGACGCGCGCCTACCTCCCTCCGGCCCCCGCCGAGGATCTCACGCTCGGTGCTAGCCGGACGCTTCACATCCGGGTACCGGGAGACAGCTGCTTCTGCCGCGGCCGCCGCCTCCTCCCCGCGCGAACGCCAAACTTCCGGCGACGGCGTCGACGCCTGGTCGGTCAGATGGGTGTTACCTGGGACCATCAAGGGTGCGCTTGCGCAGCGCTATTTCTCGACTCCTAATCCTCTCAGCTGACTCGCCCAGAAGAGGAAGATGGCCGCCACTCTCGCCGTGTGTCACGCAATTTTTTTTTTTTTTTACCCCAGCCAGAGCGGCTGGGCGTCGGAGAACAGCGAGCCCCAATCCACCATCAGCGCAGGCGCAATGGGAGGCCTCGCGTGCGCGTCTCCGCGGGTGGGCGCCGGGCGCGGCGGCGGCGGCGCCCGCTAGCGGTTGTCGTTCTTCCCGTCGGCGGTCATCTGGAAGCAAACCACCCCGACCTCCAGGTGGAGTGGTTAAGTCTTGGAAACCCTGGCCACCGCTGCCTGTAAACTTCAAGTATGAACTTCAATCTGCGTTTTCTAGTCCGAGAGTATTTGCTACCTTGGGAACCAATATTAAAAAGGATGGCTGCGCCGAGTGCTGGTGGCTCACGCCTGTCATCCTAGCTACTCCGGAGGCTGAGATCTGAGGATCGGGTTCAAAGCCAGCCCGGGCAGGAAAAGACCCAATTAACTACCAAAAAAGCCCGAAGTGGTACTGTGGCTCAAGTAGAGCACTGGCCTTGAGCACAAAAGCTCAGAGACAGCACACAGACCCCAAGCTCATACTCCAATATCGGCACAAAAACAAACAAGAGGAGAAATTAGAATAGCCTACTAGATTTAGTCAAGGCGCACACTCAAAGCTTGGGCTCTTCAAAACCTCTGAAGATAGAACTCAGGGTTCTCTATGTAGGATTTGTGGCTCTTGTTTGAAACTTTTGTTGTTGTTGTTCTCTTTGCTTACAAAGCTGTGGGGAAGGGTAAATCCATATTTGTGCCGTTCCGAATAGGAAGAGAGATGATTGTAAGTGGGCTCTCCCCTTCCTGCCCTCCCCTTTTGATGCCAAGCCCAATCAAAAAAATGACAGTCAAGCCTGATGTTTTTCTGACAGTTCATTTTTCACAAAACTTTAGTAAACTAGCTGGCAGTTTACCAAAGAGATCTTCTGGATTAGGTATTACAAGTGAGAACCTTCTCCATGTTACTGTATATTGCATTACTTGGCAAACACCTGCCCTCTGCACTCACACTGACCCCCAGTCCCTATTATGTATTTTTTTATTAATTAAAAAAAGTAACTTGAAGCCAGCCAGTTGACTTAAGTTTAGTTACATAGTGAGATTTTTGCCTGAAAAAATAGAAAAATTAAGGCCTGCACCAAGTGGCTCATGTCTGTAATCCAAGCTACTCAGAAGAATGACATTGGGGTTCAAGGCCAGCCTAGACAGAAAAGCCTATTACGAAACTGTGCATCAGTGGCTCAAGCCTGTATTCCTAGGTACTCAGGAAGCTGAGATTTAAGGATCACAGTTCAAAGCCAGCCTGGGCAGGAAAATATCCAGAGACTCATCTCCAATTAACCACTTGAAAACTGAAGTAGAGCTGTGGCTCAAAGTGGTAGCCTTAAGTTAAAGAGCTCAGAAACAGTGCCCAAGCCCTGAGTTTGAAGCTAACCTGGACAAGAAAGTCCTTCAGACTCTTTTCTCCAAAAAACCACTATAAGATGAAAATGAATGTGTAGAGTCTTTAAGCAAAATGGCCCAGGGATAGTGCCCAGGACCTTAGTTCAAGATCCAGAAAGAAAAAGAAAGCTGGGTGCTGGTGGTTCATGCCTGTAATCCTAGCTATTCAGGAGGCTGAGATCTGAGGATCCGGTTCGAAGCCATCCCAGGCAGGAAAGTCTGTGAGACTCTTATCTCCAATAAACCACTAGAAAACCAGAAGTAGCACTGTGGCTCAAGCAGTAGAACGTTTGCCTTGAGCTGAAGAGAGCAGGAACAGCGCCCAAGCCCAGAGTTCAACCCCCATGACCAAAAAAAGAAAAACAGAAAAAGTGAACAGGATAATTTCATGCCAGACCGACCCTACTGCAAGTTGCAAATAAAGTTTTTCACAATATTACTCTACCCTTGCTATTTCAAGACCAACAAGTTATTGTTAGTGGAACTGGCAATACTACAGGGAGGAGGTATCCAAAAGGAAAGGGACCTTTTGTCTGGCACTTGGGTACTAGTCTCTTTACATTATCAAAAAGACTTTTAGAGGGGCTGGGAAGATGGCTCGGTGGTAGAGTGCTTGCCTTGCATGCATGAGGCCCTCAGTTCGATTCCTCAGCACCACATAATCAGAAAAGGCTGGAAGTGGGGCTGAGGCTCAGGTGGTAGAGCGCTGGTCTACAGCTGAAGAGCTGGGGGACAGCACCCAGGCCCAGAGTTCAGGCTCCACAACCGGCAAAAAAAAAAAAAAACTTTTAGGACACATTAGAGACCAAGAAAGTTTAATTAATAAAGCAAAGGAAAGGTAGATAGTATACAGCTAAGCATGAGTACAGATACATCTGCTAAAAGATGTGATGAGTCCTTTAAATTCATGGATATTTTTGGGGAAAAAGTAAATTAAGGGGCTGGGGATGTGACGGTGATAGAATGTTTATCTAGAATGCATGAAGCCATGGGTTTGATTCCTCAGTACCACATAAGCAGAAGAAAAAGCCAGAAGTGGCACTGTGGCTCAAGGAATGGAGTGCTATCCATGAGCAAAAGAAGCTCAGGGATAGTGACCAGCCCTGAGTTCAAGCCCTAGGACCAACAACAACAACAAAAAAGTTGAGGGTTTTGCTCAAATTCACCTTAAGGTAAGTTCTTCTCTTTGATGTGACTTTTGATATATTTTGTCATTCTTGTTTTGCTGTGTTTTATCAATTAGGTCTACAGACTATAAGGTTGACCCATTCATTCTGGTCATCATGGGATTAATGCTTGAGTATCCCTTTTTTTTGGGGGGGGGGTCCGGTCATGGGGCCAGAACTCTGGGCCTGGGCACTGTCCCTCAGCTCTTCAGTTCATGGCTAGTGCTCTACCACTTGAGCCATAGCGCGCCACTTCCGGCTTTTTTCTTTTTGCTTATGTGGTGCTGAGGAATTGAACCCAGGGCCTCAATGCATGCAAGGCAAGCGCTCTACCACTGAGCCACCTTCCCAGCCCTTGAGTATCCCTTTTAACAAAGAAAAGGTCCCACAAGATGCTCCCTTTCGGGAAAATATCTATCCTTGTTTATAAGTATTTTTATATGCAAGAACTTTTTTTTGTTGTTCCCAGGGGAGTCATTTTCCCAAGAATTTTTTTTTCTAGATAAGTGTTGTTCTTTATCCTTGCTCAATTCCCAGAGTACACTAGTTGTTTTGGCAAGCAGACAGGGTCAAAAGGAAAGAGCTATTCTTTTTTTCTTTATTTTTTTAACTAAACATTGCAGCTTATTGTGAAGTATAAGGTTTAAAAGAAAGAAAATAATGCCATGTGCTCTTTTTTTTTATTGTGAAATGCTGTACAGAGGGGTTACAATTACATGGGCAAGATAATGAGTACATTTCTTATCAAGCATTGCAGCCTCCTCCTTTGTTTCCCCTTCCCATCCCTTCCCTTCCCCCCTCCTGCCCAATGTGCTTTTAACCAAGCTATTCATTAATTCAGTGTTTGACTCTGAATTCCTGCTTCTGTCTTCTATAACTCATTATTCCTGATCTATCCTATGAGAAAGTAAGCTTCTTTCTTAAAAATTCAATCTAGAAAAAAACAAAAGTCAGGCCAGGCACTGGTGGCTCACCCCTGTAGGAAGCTGAGATCAGAGGATCTTGGTTCAAAGCCAGCCCAGGCAGGAAAGTTCATGAAACTCTTATCTCCAATAAACCACCAGGAAACTGGAAGTGGTGCTGTGACTCAAGTGGTAGAGCACTTGCCTTGAACTGAAGAGCTGAGGTACAGTGCCTAGGCCCAGAGTTCAAGCCCCATGACAAGAACAAAAAAAAAAAGCCAGGTGCATTTATTCCTAGGTATTCTAGAGGCTGAGATCTGAGAATTGTGGTTGAGAGCCAGCCTGAGCAGACAAATCTGAGAGATCATTGTCTCTAATCAGCAAAAACCTAAAACAAGGTATGGATCAAGTGGTAGAGTGTCAGACATGAGCAAAAAAGCCTGAACAAGCACAAGGCCCTCAGTTCATGCTCCAGGACCAACAAAAAAGAAAACAAGCCAACAAAAAGACAAAGAAAAACTTACAGCATTTTTATATAAATGAGGTCACAATAGCATTTCAATGGGCCATATTTGAGACTAATAACATAAATAAAGCATTATGATGACCCAACATATTTGAGAGGATGAGTATCTCATTGCCTTTTCAGTCAGATTTTTTTTTTTTTTGCCAGTCCTGGGGCTTGAACCTAGGCACTGTTCCTGAGCTACTTTTGCTCAAGGCTAGCACTCTACCACTTGAGCCACAGTGCCATTTCTGGCCTTTTCTGTTTATGTGGTACTCAGGAATCAAACCCAGGGCTTCATGCATGCTAGTCAAACACTACCACTAAGTCACATTTCCAACCCTAGATTTTTATTTATTTATTTTTATCATGGCACTTGAACTCTGGGCTTGGGCACTGTCCCTGAGCTCTTCAGCTCAAGGCTAGTGTTCTACCACTTGAGCCACAGTGCCACTTCTCGTTTTCTGGTGGTTAATTGGAGATGAGAGTCTCACAGGCTTTCCTTCCTGGGCTGGCTTTTAACCATGACCCTCAGATCTCAGCCTTCTGAGTAACTAGGATTACAGGCGTGAGCAATCAGCACCCCGCTCCCAGTTTTGTTTTGTTTTTTAATGCATGTAGTTTAGCCAGATGCCTCGGGGCTCATGCCTGTAATCTTACCTACTGAGGAGGTTGAGATTTCAGGATCTTGATTTGAAGCCAGCTGGGGCAGAAAAGTCCCCTTGAGACTCTTATCTTCAACTAACCACTCAAAAAACTGAAGTGGAGCTGTGGCTCAATTGTTAGAGCATTAGCCTTGAGCACAAAGAGGCACAAGGGCAATTCCCCAGCCCTGAGTACAAGCCCACAACAACAAAAATAATAAAAATGCTTGTAGCTGAGCATCAGTGGCTCACACCTGTAATTCTAGCTATTCAGGAGGCTGAGATCTGAAGTTTGAAAGTTTGAAGCCAGCCTGAGGCAAACAAAAAAAAAAAAAGAGCTGGAAGTGGAGATGTAGCTCAAGTGGTAGAGCACCAGCCTTGAGCACCGAAGCTCAGGGACAGAGTTCAAACCCCAGTACTGGTTTAAA